CCCCAACAGGGAGGAAGTGGCTTCGACACTTTGGCAGCTGCTGGGCCCTCTGCTCCTGTGGGCATTGCAGAGCCGGCCAGTGGCTGGGCCTCCGGAGGACGTGGGCCCTGACACCGGCCCCCCCCCACCAGGCGCTGAACCCCTACTACGGGTTCCAGGCCTTCAGCATCGCGCTGTGGCTGGCAGATCACTACTACTGGTACGCACTGTGCATCTTCCTCGTTTCCGCCGTCTCCATCGGCCTGTCCTTGTACAAGACCAGAAAGGTGAGTGGCAGAGGCAGACAGAGTGGGGAACAGCCTTCCCGGTGGCCTCCTCCCACCCACGCGCTCTCGCCCCCTGCCTGCAGCAAAGCCAGACTCTGAGGGACATGGTGAAGCTGTGTGTGCGGGTGCGCGTGTGCCGGCCTGGAGGAGGTGAGCGGGGCCGGCCGCAGGCTGGGGAAGCGCTGGGGCCTACGCCGTGCTCTGGGCTATGCTGAGCTGCCTCTCACCTACAGAGGCTGAGTGGGTCGACTCCAGCCAGCTGGTGCCCGGAGACTGCCTGCTGCTGCCCCAGGAGGGTGGGCTGATGCCCTGCGACGCTGCCCTGGTGGCTGGAGAGTGCGTGGTGAACGAGAGCTCTCTGACAGGTGAGCTGCAGCCCGCTCTCTCCCTGCTGCGGGGCCCCTCTGCCCTGCATCAGTTTGGCTTTCAGTTTTCTTTTCTGTTTTCTCTCAATTAACAATCCTGGCTTCAGCACCTGCCCAGCCTGTACCGTCGGGCTGTATGTATAACCCCCTGCACCGCAGCTTCCTCTGCTGTAAACTGGGCCTGTCAGCCATTCCTACTGGACAGGGCCGTACAGTGTTTATGAGCAAGGGGTGCAGCATGAGCCACCCCCTCCCCGTGAGCGTCTCCCTCCAGCCCACACAGGAGAAGGTCAAGCACAAGCAGGAGTCCCTCCCCTCCTCTCCCTTCCCCAGCAGCGCCCCCTACCCCCGTGAAGGGTGTGAGGAGTCCTGCCCCTCCTTCTCTGTGTGTTTAGGTAGCGTGTGCCATAAGCAGACACACCTCTCTCGCATGCGTGGGGTTGGGCTCTGTGTCTGCGTCCCACTTGGCTTTTTCTCCCCAGCAAGTACATCCTGGGCATTCTTCCACAACACCTGCAGCTCCACCTCATGGCTACATGAGTCCACAGTACAGCCCAGTGTGCTGGCACAAGGCCAAGAGGCAGTGCTCTACATGCTGGGACCACATAGGAGACCTGGTTCAAATCCCAGTCCAGCCTAAAAGTGGTGCTGCGCACCTATAATCCCAGCACCGGGAGAGTCACAAACTCGAGGCTGGGCAATATTACAAGACTTTGTGACAAAAGAGCTGGGTGTGGTGGGGTGCCCCTGTAGACCCAGCTGGGAGGCTGAGGCAGGAGGATCAAGACAGGGCAAGATTCTTTTTTTTTTTTTTTAATTGGGTCATTGTAAAAGTTATGATGTATTTTTCTGTTTTCCTATGCAAAAATTCATCATGACTTTTCTGATGACCCAATATTCGATTTTTTTTTTTTTGAGAGGTTTTTGCTATAGGGTGCGTGCGCTCACCAGACAGACAGAGAGAGACATAGAGACAGAAAGCGAGAAATCACCCCCCAGGGGATGGTCACGCCACAATCCCTTCTCCTCCGTTCTCCTCTCGGGATCTTGGGTACGCATGCACACGCATCCAGCGTGAGTTTTAAGCCACCGGGTTCGGGACGTGAACCGCGGTTAACTACGTGGGAGTCCAGTGACATAGCCATTATGCTAACTGCTGGTTCCCCCAATATTCGATTTTTAAAAATTATTTATTTAATTTTATTTGTTCATTCACTTAATTTGATCAAAGAGAAACAGAGAGAGAGGGAAAGTGAGAAAGCAAGCCACCAGGTCTAGGACTCGAACCATGGTCGGCCATGTGGGAGTGCTTTACACCATGCCACCTGCTGGTCCCCACCCAGTATTAGTTTTCGCTGTAGGGCACATGCATTCCCAGAGAGACAGACAGAGGCAAAGTATAAAATCACCTCCCAGGGGAGTGGCTGTGCCACAGTCCCTCCTCTTCCAGTCCCCTTGGGATTTGGGGCACAGATGCACACACGCCTGGTGTGGTTTTCAAGCTGTCGGGTTCAGATTAGTGCCCTAATCTTCATGCTACCTGCTGACCCCTGAAATTCTGTCTTTAAAAAAAAAAGGTAACACAAGCAACAACGAAAGAACCCACGGTGCAAATGGGTCACAGCTGACTTAACGGCTTCCTAGTAGTGAGTGCTTAGACCGTGAGTCCCCTGCCACTGCAGACCGTGCCCCAGTGAGTGGCCCTGTCCTGTCCCTGAATATGGACAAGCATTGCTTTCTCTGGGATGTGTTAGGTTTTGGTGGTGGATACTAGACAGCGGTTACTAAAAACCACAGGCTAGTGTTTTTCCCAGGGAAGGTGTCTGGCTGGAGTGTCCTTGTATGATAGAAGAGTCTTGGGCCAACTCTGTGCCCTGGTGATTAGGCAGCAGGATTCCACGTGGCTAACCCCGTGATCCAAGTCTCAGACCTGGCAGTCCGAGAAACATGCCAGGCACACGTGTGTGCATGCCCAGAATCCAGACGTGCTGGAGAAATGAAGGAGCAGGGGTGACAGCTCGGCCATTCCCCATAAGTGTGCTTTCTTCTCTCTCTGTCTCTTTGGTGAGCACACACACCGTCTGACGATTTTTTAATAATTATTTTATTTATGATAGTTTCTTTCCAATTTGACCAGAGAGAGACAGAAAGACAGAGAGGGAAAGTGAGAAAGCAAGCCACCAGGTCTGGGATTTGAACCATCGCTGGCCATGTGGGAGTTGAGCACCTTCACCACCATGCCACTTGCTGGCCCTCAAATATTAAAAAAAAAAAAAAAATTCACTTTCCCCCACAGGGGCCATGAATTATGTCTAAGAACTGCACACAGTAGGTGCTCAGTGGTCTCACCCTCACAGGCTCTCAGTGAGGGACTGTTCCTCTGCCAGGCAGTCTGCCCAGGGCCTTTTAGAGGCTCTGCCACTCCCAGCCCCAGGTACATGTCTTTATCAATGTGAATGATAAGAACCATGTACACTTGTTATAGAATATCCCAGCAGGCCTTCCCCAGCCCCTGCCTAGCCACACACACGTGTGTCCACCAGCGTCTCACCCGCCCAGAGGTGAGGTCCGGAGACTGGCTTCCATGCCCCCTCCCAGGATTGCTCCGCTCAGCCTTTATGTCTTCTGCCACCTGCGCCTCATCATCCCTCTCTGTAGATCGGGGCTGTGAGTTCTCCTTCACACGTGCTTACGGAATTACATGAGCCCCAGGACTTATGGGCCAATGTGCGTAACTCCTAAGTTTATCGTGGGAGGAGTGGCCTGGAGGACCCCTGTGGCCTGACGCTGTGTCCCATGCAGGGGAGAGTGTTCCAGTGCTGAAGACGGCCCTGCCGGAAAGCCAGGGGCCCTACTGCCCAGAGACGCACCGTCGGCACACGCTTTTCTGTGGGACCCTCATCTTGCAGGCCCGGGCCTACATGGGACCCCACGTCCTGGCGGTGGTGACCCGGACAGGTAGGAGGCAGAGAGGGATGCTGGGCTCAGCCCCCACACAAGCAGTGACAAGGGCAGGGTGAGTCCTGCCCTGCCTGGGACCTCAGACACATCCCACTGCAGCTTGGGCCTCGTTATCCCCGTCTGAACTGGAGACATTGGGCCAGACTGGGGCCCCGCATTGCAGCAAGAGCCAGCAGGACTTTAAATGCTGAAAGGGACAGGGATGTGGCAAGCAGGAAGAGCCATCCTAAATTTGGATTTTAAGTGAAGCCATTCCATTTTTAGGTGCCTTCCACTAATTCTAGTTTTTTATTTGTTTCTTAGTTTTTTTCCATAGGGTGTGTGAACTTGCCCGAGAGAGTCAGAGAGAAACCCAGAGAGGGAAAGCGAAAAATCTCATCCGCCCGGGGGTGTGACCACGCTGCAGTCCCTTCTCTTCCATTCTCCTCTTGGGATTTTGGGCGTGCACATATGCACGACTGGTGTGATTTTCAAGCTGCCAAGAGCCTGGCAGGGGTGGGGCTGGGTGGGACGTCCTAGGAGTGTCTGCACCCAGGACAGGGCTGGGACTGTAACCGTGGTTGGCCACGTGGGAGTCCAGTGCTTTAACCACCATGCCACCTGCTGACCCCACACCGATTCCACTTGTAAAAACCCTTCAGGGTAGGCAAGGCCTGTGGGCTGCTTCCTGACTCCAAACTGGATGATGGCCAACCGTGCGAGCACGTGTCTCCAACCACAGAGCTGCAGCTGGGGTGGGCCAGTGGGGCAGACCTGGCCTGACCCCGCTTCCCTTCCTCTCCTGTCTCCTCCCCAGGCTTCTGCACGGCTAAGGGGGGCCTGGTGAGCTCCATCTTGCACCCCCGGCCCATCAACTTCAAGTTCTATAAACATAGCATGAAGTTTGTGGCTGCCCTCTCTGTCCTGGGTGAGTGGCCCCCTGCACCCCACTCCATCTGCAGCTCCTGAGCCTGGGCCCCAATCCCCACTCAATCCCTGCTGTCTCCCCAGCTCTCCTTGGCACTATCTACAGCATCTATATCCTCCACCGCAACCGGGTAAGCCCCAGGGGCCAGGTGGGGCTACCAGCCTGGTCTGCCCAACCTGGACTGGGTATTCATGGAGCCTCCTCCCAGGTGCCTGTGAATGAGATTGTGATCCGGGCTCTGGACCTGGTGACGGTGGTGGTGCCACCCGCCCTGCCAGCTGCCATGACAGTGTGCACCCTGTACGCCCAGAGCCGGCTGCGGAGACAGGGCATCTTCTGCACCCACCCGCTGCGTATCAACCTGGGCGGCAAGCTGCGGCTTGTGTGCTTTGACAAGGTAGGCTGGCTGCAAGACAGGGTTGGCGTGGAGAGCAGGGACAGCCACAGGCACCTCTGCCACACCACCACACCTGTGGTACCGGCCGGCAGCGTCACCTGGGGACCTGTTGGGCACCTGGGTGCAGACACTCCTAGGGCGTCCCACCCAGCCCCACCCTTGCCAGGTCCTGGTCTGGGAGTGAAGTGTCCAAAATGGCGTATTCACTCGCTCGAGGATCCTCAAGGGCCCTCTGTGTTCTGGTGCTACTCTCCACCCCCAGGGCCCAGCCATGACATACGTGGGGATATCCTCACGGACACTGACGTGTGTCTGTCTCCCCCACTGGAATAAGTGAGTGAAGGTGTCCATGGGAGCCACAGGGGGCCGTGGGTTTGGGAAGGAAGCCAGGAGGTAATGTGGCAGATGGTAAATGGGGTGCTCCCTTAGAGGGGTCCCGGAAGGCTCCTCTGAGCAAGCCCCTCAGTGATTTCAGTGAAGGACCCAGCCAGGGAGCAGCACAGGCCCCGACAGACAGGTGGTGTCCCAGACTCGATGAGCAGGACAAGCAGGAGGCCCCAGGTGGGCAGCACACCCATTGACAGAAGCTAGACGTTACTCCGAGGGACATGGAGGGTTTTTTTTGTTTGTTTTGTTTTTTTGGAGAGGTTTTCGCTATAGGGTGCGTGCACTCACCAGACAGACAGAGAGAGACATAGAGACAGAAAGCGAGAAATCACCCCCCAGGGGGGATGGCCACACCACAATCCCTTCTCTTCCATTCTCCTCTCGGGATCTTGGGCACGCACGCACACGCGCCCGGCGTGAGTTTAAGCCACCGGGTCCGGGATATGAACTGCGGTTGACTACGTGGGAGTCCAGCGACATAGCCATTACACTAACTGCTGGTTCCTGGGACACAGAGTTTTTAAACAGAAGGGTGGGGGTGTGGTCAGACTCAGCTGCCAGATTAGCCAAGAGCCAGGGCCGTCCTTCATTCACCCACTCACTCATTCTCCCACTCATTCACCCATTCCACCCATTCACTCACTCATTCACTCTTTCACTCATTCATTCATTCACCCATTCACTCATTCACTGGCTCATTCATTCGCTCTCACTTGCTTTCTTATTTACTGATTTATTCATTTGCTCATCATTCATTCATGCACTCACTCATTCACTTGCTCACCCATTTACTGATTCATTCACTCCTTCATTCATGCACTCACTCATTCACTCAATAATTCACCCATTCACTCACTCAGTCATCTTTCATTCACTCACTCGTTCACTCTTTCATTCACTCACTCTTTCATTCACTCACTCATTCATTCGTTCACTCACTCATGGACTCACTCATTCTGTCACGCATTCACTCACTCAAATTAATGCTGGGCTGAGCTGGGCCGGCTCGTCTTCCAGGTACCAGAGGGAGCAAGTGGTGGGGAGGCAGAGAGCCCATGGTAGGAGTCAGATGCAAGGACCACCTGTTCAGGAGGAAGACTTCCTGGAGGAAACTACGCCAGGCAAAGCAACAGCGGGGGTTGGGAAGGGTGGCTCCAGCAGACAGAACCACATATGCGAAGGTCCAGAGGCACGAAAGGGCCTCTCTGGCTCCAGCTCTGGTCCCTGGGGTTCCCGTGGGACCCACCCTGCCTGGAGCAGGAGCATCCAGCTCATTAGGGCACAGCAAACCTCGGGGCTCCCCACTGTCCCTACAGACGGGCACCCTCACTGAGGACGGCTTGGACGTGATGGGGGTGGTGCCCCTGAAGGGGCAGGCGTTCCTGCCACTGGTCCCAGAGCCCCGCCGCCTGCCCATGGGGCCCCTGCTAAGAGCACTAGCCACCTGCCACGCACTCAGCCGGCTCCAGGACACCACAGTGGGCGACCCCATGGACCTCAAGATGGTGGAGTCTACTGGCTGGGTGAGAAGGCCGAGCAGGTCAGCCCCCTGCCTTGGGGCAGTGGGCCTCACCGACCCCACTTTACCCTTGTCCTCAGTCTCCCAGGGTGGTCTCCATTCTGCCCACCTTCAGTAACAAGGGCAGGGCTGTGAGCTGAGCACCTACTGTGTGCCAGCACTCTACTCAGGCCTTGTCACACTCGCTCCCCTCCAACCTTGGCAAGCTTAAAACCTGCCTCACTGGGAGGAAGCTGAGACTGAGAGAGATCTGAAATAACTCATCCAAGGTCACTCAGCCTCTTGTAAGCGAAAAGCAAGAGTTTAGACTGGGGTCCACCCAACCCCAAAGCCCATATTCTTAACTCCACACGATCTGGTCTCCCGTTAAGGAAGTCTTCTGTGAGTCTAACTGGAATCTCTCCTGCCACTTCTCTCCATGGGCTGAGGCCCCCTCCCTGGATTCCAACTTTCTCTGCCTGCTTGCCAGGTCCTGGAGGAGGGGCCAGCCACAGACTCGGCATCCGGGACCCAGGTCTTGGCAGTGATGAGACCGCCGCTTCAGGAGCCCCAGCTGCAGGGAGCGGTGAGCTGAGGGGTTCCTGTGGAGTGGGAGGCTGGAGGAGGAGGCTCCACAGCCAGCCCTCAGCTGCCTCCACCCTGCAGGAGGAGCCCCCTGTGCCGGTCAGCATCCTCTGCCGCTTCCCCTTCTCTTCAGCCCTGCAACGCATGAATGTGGTGGTGACGTGGCCAGGGGCCGCTCAGCCTGAGGCCTACGTCAAGGGCTCCCCTGAGCTGGTGGCAGGCCTCTGCAACCCCGAGACAGGTGAAGGAACAGGCCCTGGCATCTGCTGGTCGGGCATTGGCATTGAATGGAATGGGTCTCCAGCCTCTGGTGCTGCCCCTGCCTCCTCTCCCTGGTGACACTTGCCTCTCTCTGGCAGTGCCCACCACCTTTGCCCAGATGCTGCAGAGCTACACAGCTGCTGGCTACCGCGTCGTGGCCCTGGCCAGCAAGCCGGTGCCCATGGTGCCCAGCCTGGAGGCAGCTCAGCAACTGACGAGGTGGGCCCATCCCAGGAGTGGGCAGAGGAAGGCCGTCCTACAGGCAGAGCCCTGGGAAAGTGGCCCTGCCTCGCGGCTCGGGGAGGGACCTTGCCCCTTGCATGACCTCTGTCCCGGGGCTGCTCACCTCTAGGGACACTGTGGAGCAGGAGCTGAGCCTCCTGGGACTGCTGGTCATGAGGAATCTGCTGAAGCCACAGACGGCCCCGGTGATCCAGGCTCTGCGTAGGACGCACATCCGCACTGTCATGGTGACAGGTACTGCAGGCCCCTGCGGAGCAAAGACTCTGCCCCCGCATCTTTGAGCCGCTTCCTTTTCATACATTCCCCGATCTCCCTGATGGGAGCTGTTGCTCTGGATGAGGAAACTGAGGCAGAGAGGTGTGGAGGGACTTCCAGAGAACCTGGATGTGATTTTGCTGGGTCACCTCTCTGGATTCCATTTTTTTCTTTCTTTCTTTCTTTCTTTCTTTCTTTCTTTTTTTTTTTTTTTTTTTTAAAATTTAGTTCCTTACCCACCATACCTCCTGCTGGGGTGTGGCGGAGAGGCTGCTTTCTTTTATTCTCTCTTCTTTCTCTGATGAGCATGCATGCCCTCTGGCAAAAAAAAATTTTTTTTTGGAGAGGTTTTTTGCTATAGGGCGTGTACGCTCACCAGACAGACAGAGAGACAGAAAGCCAGAAATCACCCCCAGGGGGATGGCCACGCCACAATTTCTTCTCCTCCATTCTCCTCTCGGGATCTTGGGCATGTGCGCACATGCGCCCAGCGTGAGTTTTAAGCCGCCACAAACCGCGGTCGACTATGTGGGAGTCCAGCGACAGCCATTACACTAACTGCTGGTCCCTCTGGATTCCATTTCTACCCTTGAGAAATGGGGCTAAGAATGGCAGCCCTGAAGGTTGTGGCAATCGCATGGAGCAAGAAGCCCCTTCACCACCACGCCACCCTCCTATGACTCTTTAATGCCTAGTTCCACAGATAAGGAAACTGAGGCTCAGAGACATCGATACCTCGCCACAAGGGACTCAGCAGTGAGAGCAGACATGGCAGCCCCCTCAGTTTCCCATCTCTAAGGGTTAGTGTGAGCGTGGCCTCCCTGGAAGCACTGGACCCTGACTGGCCCCTGTGCCCTGCCAGGAGACAACCTGCAGACGGCAGTCACTGTGGCCCGGGGCTGTGGCATGGTAGGCCCCCAGGAGCGTCTGATCATTGTCCAGGCCACCCACCCCGAGCGAGGCCAGCCTCCCTCTCTGGAGTTCCTGCCAGTGGAGTCCTCTGCAGTTGCAAATGGGGCTAAGGTGAGGCTGACCCAGAACTCTGGTGCCCAGGGACCCCACCCCGTGTCACCCACCCAGGCCCCAGCTCTCCAGGGTGGGCAGGGGAGCTAAGCTGAGCTTCCCGGGCCCCCAGGATGCTGACCAAGCCACCAGCTACCACGTGGAGCCAGACCCCCGATCCAGCCACCTGGCCCTCAGCGGGCCCACCTTTGGTGTCCTTATGAAGCACTTCCCCAAACTGCTGCCCAAGGTAGGGCTGACCCCCCACCCCTGCCTCACTCACCCACCACACCTCCCTGCCCTGCTCCCTCTTCTGGGCCTCCCCAACCTCCTTCTAGGGATTGCCTCAGCCCTCCCCATCTCCATCTATGCTCCCAGGTCCTGGTCCAGGGCACCATCTTTGCCCGCATGGCTCCTGAGCAGAAGACAGAGCTGGTGTGTGAGCTGCAGAAGCTCCAGTGAGTGCCCAGCGGTGGGTGTAGACGTGGGTCAGCTGCAGGGAGCAAGCTGGTCCAGACACCCCTGCCACCCTCTGCAGCCTGCAGAGAGCCAGCACCCTGACGAAAGCATGCAGGCAGCCTCTCCTAGGTGTTTCCTGAACACCTCCTATGTACCGGGCACCGTGAGGGTACTGGGGTCCAGCCATCACCATCTTCTGTCAGCAAGCCTGTGAGGTGGGCTGGTCATCTCACAGGCCACCTCCCACCCGTCAGGTACTGCGTGGGCATGTGCGGGGACGGCGCCAACGACTGCGGGGCCCTGAAGGCAGCCGACGTGGGCATCTCGCTCTCCCAGGCCGAAGCCTCAGTGGTCTCCCCCTTCACCTCTAGCATGGCCAGCATTGAGTGTGTGCCCATGGTCATCAGGTGAGAGGCCAGGGGCTGGTGGGAGGCCTCGGCAGGCCGATTGGCGCACCCAGGCCCCCTCACGCTCATATCTTACCCCTCAGGGAAGGTCGCTGTTCCCTGGACACGTCGTTTAGTGTCTTCAAGTACATGGCCCTGTATAGCCTGACCCAGTTCATCTCGGTCCTGATCCTCTACACGGTGAGTACCTAGAGCTCCCTGCTGGCCATGCCGGAGCAGGCCCAGGGCAGGACACAGCCGCGTGCCTGGGAGCCAGCAGCTTCTGGAATAGGTGATGCGGCTCACTTCCTGGGGGTGCCGCCTCCCCACTGTGTGTCTGCCACAGCTGGCAGGAGATGACCGAGTGCTGGCCACAGAGCCCGTGCACAGTAGGGCCTCAGAAATGGCAGCCACTGCCATGGGCTGACACCTTGTCCCTGACTCCGAGAACTCCCCATCTCCAGGAAAACTGAGGCAGAGCCCCTGCCCCTTGCCCATGCGTCCACCTGCTCTCTCCGCCCACCCTCAGTTGTCCCTTCCCCACCCTGCTCACCGGGACTCACCTGCTCCGAGCCTGCCCCACTGTATGCAGGAGACACCTAGGAGCAGTGCCAATCTTGCCCTTATGTCTGTCCTACTGTCCACCTTAAAGCTAAGACCTTCCAGGGCCAGTAGATGGGATGGTGGTTAGGGTGCTGGACTCCCTCATGGGCAGCCGTGGTTCCAGTCCTGGACCTGGTGACTTGCTTTCTCTCTTTTTCTTTCTCTGTCTTTCTGGTCAAATTAAAACAAATAATAATAATAAGTAAAATTAAATAAATATATTTTTAAAAAAGCTAAGACCTCCCTGAGAGCAGGAACCGTATGTCCCCCAGTAACTTGGGGCTCCACATGGCAGAGCCCGAGCCTCAATAATAAGTAAAATTAAATAAATATATTTTTTAAAAAGCTAAGACCTACCTGAGAGCAGGAACCGTATGTCCCCCAGTAACTTGGGGCTCCACATGGCAGAGCCTGAGCCTCCCTGTCAGGCTGGGGGTTCTCTGCAGGTGGGGAAACCTCCCCCATCAGATCTGGACTTCCAAGGTCAAGGTCAGCATGACTGCCTTCTCCATCAGACGGGCAGGGATTCCCAGGACCCGGGGTGGTACACTCGGGGACCCTGAGTCTCCCAGCATCAGACTGAGGACTTGCCGAACACTTGCGTGGCTCCATCAGGCCAGAGGTTCCCCAAGGGCCCAGGAGTACTGCCCCATCAGCTCAGGGGCAGGAAGGGTGCCTTTCCTGTGGACTTAGGGCAGGGGAGGGCCCCCTCACTCCAGACCAGGGGCCTGGGCAGGACCAGCTCTCAGTTCTCTGTGCTCTCTCCTCTGCTGCAGATCAACACCAACCTGGGGGACGTACAGTTCCTGGCCATCGACCTGCTCATCACCACCACGGTGGCCGTGCTCATGAGCCGCACAGGGCCCGCACTGACGCTGGGGCGGGCGCGGCCTCCGGGGGCGCTGCTCAGCGTGCCCGTGCTGGGCAGCCTGCTGTTGCAGGTGGCCCTGGTGGCCGGCGTGCAGCTGGGGGGCTACTTCCTGACTGTAGCCCAGCCCTGGTGAGTAGGGAGCTGGCCAGCCTCCCCCAGCCCCACCACGGCCCCGACACTCCATGCTCATTCCCCAATCCTGGTCACAGGTTCGTGCCTCTGAACAGGACAGTGCCCGCACCGGACAACCTGCCCAACTATGAGAACACGGTGGTCTTCTCCCTGTCCAGCTTCCAGTACCTCATCCTGGCTGCAGCCATGTCCAAAGGGGCGCCGTTCCGCAGGCCACTCTACACCAACGGTGCTGCTGCCGCGGGGGCTGGGCACAGGCGGTGCTGTGGAGGGAGGGAGGGGCTCTGGGGGTTGGTGCCTGCGGAGGCTGGCTCTGGGCCAAGGGGGAGAGATGGAGAGGGCAGTTCTGTGAGTGTGTGTGAGAGGGAGAGTGTCCCGGGGCGCAGCTCCCTTGCTAACAGACTCCCCCACCCCCAGTGCCCTTCCTGCTGGCCCTAGTGCTCTTGGGCTCTGTCCTGGTGGGCCTCATCCTGGTCCCCGGCCTCCTGCAGGGGCCACTGGCGCTGAGGAACATCGCTGACACCTACTTCAAGCTGCTGCTGCTGGGCCTGGTCGCCATCAACTTCGTGGGGGCCTTCATGCTGGAGGTGGGGTTTCCCGGGATGCAGCAGGGTGAGGCGAGTTGGGGGCTCGGTCCTGCCTCCCCTCCTCACCCCTCTGCCCTCTGCAGAGCGTGCTGGACCAGTGCCTCCCGGCCTGCCTACGGCGGGTGGGGGGCCCGACGGGCCACCATTCAAGCAGCTGGAGCAGGAGCTTGCAGAGCAGCCCTGGCCGCCGCTGCCCGCTGGTCCCGTGAGGTAGTGCAGGCCTTACCGGAGGGCACACAGGACACTGGATCTATCTCCCTGCCTCTGAGCCACTGGCTGGACTCATCTCCGGAGACACTACTGCCCGCAGCCCTGTGGTTGGCGGCGGTCACACTCCTGCCCCGGACTACCCAGCCAGCCTTCCCAGTCCCCCCGTCCCCGGAAGTGCTGACTTCATTGCCTCGCAGTCAGACCATCATGTGTCTGCAGCCGGAGCTCCACTCGGCCGCTGTCCGTGTAGCAAATAAAGTCATGGTGTTTCCTGCCTCAGCCGTGCCTCTCACCTGGGCCTCACGCAGCTTCCTCGTGCCCAGGGGCAAGTGCACACCCCTCTAGTGCCCAGCTGGCAGCCGAGTTTTCCGATCCCGTCGACAGCTGCCCTCTCCGGGCCTCCATTTCCTCACTTGGTAGCAATAACCCCTTCGAGGGAACGAGCACGCACCTGGCTCCATCTTTAGCATCTTCCAGGAATCGTCGTCCGGTCCTCCAACCACTGCAGGGCACTCTCCTCACTTTGCAGATGAGGAAACAGGCTGAGGGTCACCAGCAGGCAGGGGTGGCACCAGATTGCTTAGACCTCTCTCTCCAACTCCGCCCTCCTCCATTCCTTCCAGGGAGAAGGACGCTGCCTGCTAAAGGCCAGGCCTGGGCAGCCTCTAACAGGGCGGTCCCTGCCTTCCACCTCCCCCCCTCCCCTCGCCACCCCCTCATCTTGGGACGAGTCCTAGGTCCAGTCCCTCCCGCAGATAAAATGCAGCCCTGAGCCCAGGTCTCCCAGCCCCAGGGAAGGGTGAGTGCCTCTGAGCTCATCCCACCAGTGGGCCACTGGCCAGGCCCCCCTGCGCCGAGATGCAGCTCAGTTGTCTGGCTCATCTGGCAGGGGAGAACAGAAGAGAAAGGCCTTATTCCGCCAGCCCCTTGCCAGGACCGCTGGTACGCCCCAGGTCTGCCACGGTGGGAGCTCAGTGTGTGCTGGGTCAGACTGGGAGAAGGGAGGTGGGTGTGAAAAGTTGCCTTGGGGGGCCAGCAGGTGGTGTGGTGGTTATAGGTTCTGGGTTCTGGATTCTCACAGGGTCCCCACGGTTCAAATCCTGAACCTGGCAGCTTGAACATCACAACAAACAGATTAATTTTTAAAAACTTTTTTTTTAAGAGATTTTTTTTTTTTTTTGCTGTAGGGCGTGAGTGCTCACCAGACAGAGAGACAGAGAGACAGAAAGCAAGAAATCCCCCAGGGGGGTGGCCACACCGCAATCTCTTCTCCACTCTCCTCTTGGGATCTTGGGCACGCACGCACACTCGCCCGGTGTGAGTTTTAAGCCACCACGTCCAGGACGCGAACCGCGGTCAACTATGTGGGAGTCCAGTGACATAGCCATTGCGCTAACTACTGGTCCCCAAAAAAACTTAAAAAAAGAAAAGATGGGGAGCTGGCAGGTAGCATGGTGGTTAAGACACTGGACTCCCATTTGGCCAACCAGTTCTAGTCCTGGACCTGGAGGCTTGCTTTCCTACTTCCTCTTCTCCCTCTGTCTCTTTTTGGTCAAATTAAACAAATAATAATGATGATAATAAATGAAATAAAATAATTCTTTTAAAAAAAAAAGAAAGAAAAGATGGGCAGATGGAATGGTGCTTAGAGGCACTGAATTCCCATGTGGCAGACTGCAGTTTGAGTCCCAAACCCAGAGGCTTGCTTTCTCATTTTCCCTCTCTCTCGCTCTGATCAGATTAAAAGTAATAATGATAAATAAAGTTAAATAAATCTTTCCGTGGGACCAGCAGTTAGCAATAATGGCTATGTCGCTGGACTCCCACCTAGTTGACCACGGTTTGAGTCCCGGACCCGGTGGCTTAAAATCACGCCAGGCGTGTGTGCATGCGTGCCCAAGATCCTGAGAGGAGAATGGAGGAGAAGGACTGCGATGTGGCCATCCCCCTTGGGGGGTGATTTCTCGCTTTCTATCTCTCTGTCTCTGTCTGTCTGG